TCCCATATTCGCAATGTCTATTTTTTAACCTTTCAAATGCCGGTTTCTTGTGTTAGAATACACAAGAACGTTTAGGAAGATAGGAAAAGTTAGGAGTATCGAATGTACAACGTCGAGCATGATAGTTGTGTTTTTAATTTTATGCTGATACATGGAAACCACGAAATAACGAATTAAAAAGCAATATTATTTTATTTCGGAACAAACTACTTGTCAGCCGAAAACTAGATTCTTATATAATTGCGAAGAGTGCTTTAAAGTAATTGTCAGTAAAGCTTCAACTACCTCGTTGCATCACTGGAAAGGTCAAATAAAATCACGTTATCCAGAATGTACCGCAACATTTGTCACTTGCGCAGTAGACTGCGTAAACTGCTGGTCTATCTTCTGTTCTTGAGGACCCTCCACCTAACATAACTATGATGAGACATTCGGACCCTAATCCAGTGTAGTTTCACAGTGATTTACTATTTATCTTAGTTATCTTAGTAGAAGGTACAGTAAGCCTCCATGGAATGGGCAAAATCCCTTCCTTTGTCATCCGGGTTTTTACAAACCGAATAAAGCATTATTAATACTGAATAGATGGAAGAGACACTCAAAAAGGCTCACGAACGCACAGTTACCGTGTTGCCTACCCCACACCTCGCCGTAACCGCTGGTTGCACTACACTGTACGATGGTAACCGCACGACCGCACAGCGTCTACTAGCAATCCACGCCCCGTCGCGTTCTCGAGCGTGCGCAGATATTTGCCGAATCTTTGCGGAACTTTCCTTCTAAAGCTCAGCATGTGCCGAACTTCGCCGAATCTGAAGTTCGGCAGATTCGGTCCATCGCTAATTTTCAGCGCGCGCCAGGAGCATTGCCGTGCTCACGGTGGCCTGCAGTAACGCAATGCCAAAGCTGCCTATTAACGTCATCGGTGTGCTTATGGTTTTATTTATTGCCCTATTAAACCGAAATACGTTAATATGCCGTACATTTGTGTACCGTGTTATGTGCAACGTTGCGACCCGCCTCGCCAAAACTGCCCGTTAAAAGCTCTCGTCACGAACTGCGGGCTTATAGACGCACATAAAATGTTTCCAGCATTTCTTTATTTGCCTTTGAAGTTACCTAAGGCAAGTACGCGTTATATATATACATATATAGAGATTTAAATACCTGGAGCAAACTCATGTTCCTTGTAACGTCCTTAAAACGCGAGCCCATTCGGGGTGTGTATCGCTCGACATACAGTTGCGCGACCAGATTTCTCGTACTTAGGGCAAAAAATAGATTTTGTTTGTAGACCTTACGCTAGAGGTCTACACTACTAGCGGGAGTGTTTGCCGTCACGTTGAGCACAAATTGAGCTGCCGAGCAAAAGACCAAAAATCCGCAGCGTATGCGATATACGAAAAGCCTCTAATAAAATTAGACATTCCGGTCCCTTTGTGCAACGCTGTTCCGAGGCGGAAAACGATAATTCCTACTGAGTCATTCTATGTCAAACGTCCCATACGTTGCGCTCGACCCCTTCCGATTTCTAGAAAAAATTCACGGCCTTTTGCCGCAACGTCCGTAGCCATGCATGCCCTGAAATAGTTTTGGCGATTTTTTTTTTTTATGACGTGAGCGCGGTTTTATTTTTTAAAAACAGCGTGAAACTCGGCATCACTCTATAATTGATGAAAAATCTGCTTTTTAGTGAAACACCCAACGATTTTTTTTTAATGTGTACGGCTTTCGATTTACAATGGGGTTGGGCTTGTGAAGTTTTGTTTAATTTAAATAATTTTTAAAAAACAAACTTTTTTAAAATTTATTATTTTTGTTTATTTATTAAAAAAATATATAATCGCTCTCGGGACTTAATAGAACTTTTTACCGGCTGCCCTGCAGGTATATAATCTATAAAAAAAATGTTTAAAACCGCTCAATTAGATATCTCGCAGCAAACAAAAATCCTGAAGTAGCAAAAAAAGTGCATTTTTATGCCTAAACAGCCGTTTATTTCACTTCGAGGTGGTCCAAGTAAAAATACAAAATATGGTGTGTTTGGAAGAACAATCGATAATCTTTTGATTCTGGAAGTTCAATCCAAGTAATTTTGTTTAAAGCGAGAAAAAAGTTTTTGAAGTTGAACTCTCACACCACAACCCGGCGTCGCTTCCTATACTCCGTTTCACCTTCAGTCCGAGCGCAGCGGACACTAGGAGTAATCCCAGCCAATCCAGCGTGGAGAGAGTGTCATGTGACCTTGAGCTCCCTGTGTCCCTCTGCCCAACCGGCAGGTCACGCGATTTTCTCCCGGCGCTGGATCGGCTGGGATGGCCTGTGGCGTCCACTGCGCTCAGACTGAAGGTGGAACGGTGTATAACGCCTCTTCTCCGCACAGCACGCCACCTGCGACGATAGCTGACACGATTAGGTCCAAAGAAAGAACGGAGTTTTCCGCCTGTTCCCCTTGTCCGTCTTTGCGGCTGAAAGGGAAGAAACGGCGGGTACCGTGTAATAATCGGAGGTGCCGCCAGGGCGTAGCAATAGCAGGCCTGTTGTGCCCTTCGTACCCGAGGGCGGCTCGAAACGCGATGCCTAAACGACGGGCGGCATCAAGTGTCCAGGACTTCTCCATGCCACGTCAAAGGTCCCACGGCCACCTTCGATTCCTAAAATAAAGTTGAATGCTCTTCACCGTAACATTTGTGGTGCCTAACGCATTTTTTTGACGAAAAACAAATTTCATTGTGTGATGGCGGTTTGAAGTAGTAAAAGGGTGGAACTAGGAGTCATTCAATATTTCATGAAAAGTAAGATTTTTTACGGAACAATGGAATATTTTTGCCAAAAAACCATACGGTATTTGGATTGCTATGTAATAAGGATCATGGTCATGAAATTTGGTATGCTCGAAGCAGTTTTAAAAAATAAGGATATATGAGCATTTTAGCATATTTTTAGTTTTGTTACAAACTATGGCTTTGCTGCATGCGACTGTAAATACTCTTATTGACAGCCCTGTAGGTATACTGTACAAAAAAAAAGGTTTTAGTCCGTACAACTAAATATCTTGCAGAAAAAAAAACTAAATTTGTTCAAAATTGCGTTTTGCCGTTTAAAGAGCCGTCAAGCACGCCACCGTCGAGCCCGGCAAAGCGTGCGATAGTGTCACGGTGTGCGCACGCAAGTAGACCTCGAGTTGTCGGGTACATCTTGGTGGGAAAAGGATTTTTTTCTACTTCTATTGCTTTATGGCTTTTCCTATTTCTATCGTTTTGCGCGGCTATGTCCTCCTGTGGTCTTCCACTGTCTTGATATCAGCAAATGCTTAGTGCTGCCAGGTAAGAGCATCCACTAGTAAGCTAGCTGTTTCTTACGTACACATCGCAATCACCCTCTCTTCTCGACGTCAGGACAGATAGACAGCAACACAAAGGCCCCGTGAACGGGCATGCAATCTCAAACGGCGAGGCAATGTGGTGTTAACGAATGCGCGCAGTTGGAGGCTCATGCCTCGTTTGTGTTTAATTTCGGCTTTGAAACGGCAAATTCTTGCGTCGCTGGATAGTTCCGCTTTTCACCGCAGTATGCATGACAGCTAGATTTCGCGGCGATGTTATAGCGTTTCCCTTTTAGGAGAAGTCCACGTCAGCTGATGCCGCCCATATTAGGCATCGCGTTTCGAGCCGCCCTCGGGTACAAAGGGCACAACGGGCCTGCTATTGCTACGCGCTGGCGGCACCTCCGATTATTACACGATACCTGCCGTTTCTTCCCTTGCAGCCGAACAGACGGACAAGAGGAAGCGGCAGAAAACTCGGTTCCTTCTTTGGACCTAATCGTGTCAGGACTCAGCTATCGTCGCAGGTGGCGTGCTGTGCGGCGAAGACGCATTAAGAAGCGACGCCGGAATTCGGTGCGAGAGTTCAACTTCAAAATTGTTTTCTCGCTTTAAACAAAAATTACTTTGATTAAACTTTCAGAATAAAAAGATTATCAATGGTTCTTCCAAACACACCATATTTTGTATTTTACTTGGACCCCCTCAGGGTGCTATAAACGGCCGTTTATGCGTCAAAACGCACTTTTTTGCAACTTCAGGATTTTTGTTTACAGCGAGATACTTAATTGAGCGGTTTTAAACATTTTTATATAGATTATATACCTGCAGGGCAGCCGGTAAAAAGTTCTATTAAGCCCCGGTAGCAATTAAATATTTTTTGATAAAATAACATAAATGCAGAATTTTTTCATTTTTCTTAGTTTTTTTTTATTATTTAAATTAAACAAAACTTTACAAGCCCAACCGCATCGTAGGTCGAAAGCCACTTTAAGAAAAAATATTGTTGGGTGTTTCACTGAACAGCTGATTTTTCATCAATTATAGAGTGATGCCTAGTTTCACGCTGTTTTTTTTTTAAACTAAAACTGCGCTCACGTCATCTGCGCTCACGTCATCAAAAAAATTTTGTCGCCAAAAATATTTCAGGGCATGGCTACGGACATTGCAACAAAAAAACACAATTTCTTTTTTTTTTTTTTTTTTTTTTTTTAGAAATCGGAAAGGGTTGAGCGCAACGTCTGGGACGTTAAAACTGATTCACGCATGAAATCGCCGATCAGAACCGTCTCCACCGCCGCCGCCGCCTTCCCCGCTCCTCTGGTTCTTCCTTCGTCCGCGAGAGGGTGAGCGGCGGGCTAGAGAGGGAGAGAGAGAGCGAGAAAAAAACTTGTCCGGGCAGTGGTTGCCCACAAATATCGAAAATATAGCTCTAGGGTTCGTTTTGTAATTGAATGTAACTTATGGATAGAGCTAGCTTGGTTGTAGCAAGATTCCTGTCTAGAATATTGTTATTGGATCGTTTGAAGAAATCGAGAAATACGATATTAAACTATGAGGTACTTCGCAATCGTGGGAACCTTGTTGTGAGTGGGGCTACATTTTCTTCAAGCAAAAGTATCGCTTCTCGGCCTTTTGGCTAAGATCAAGTGTAGTATCTGTGGAGCCGCCGGACATGCAGCTCACACCCATGGCACTGCCGAGCCCCAACCCCCAGCTACCACCAGAGGCCGAGGTTCCACTCGGAGAAACGACCCGGGACACCACCCCAACCCAGAGCACACCAAAAGACCGGGACACCTTTGCGGCGAGACCACTACTGGGTCTCACCGCCAACGATCCCGCCAAGGACGGCAGTGACACCGAAGCTGCCGAAGCTGCTCACGAGGAGGCCCCCTCCAACACCAGGGACCAAGATCCCACGAGCACACCAATGGGTGCAACCTCCAACGACCAGACCGAGGCCGGCAGTGTGACCGTGGGGGCCGATGCTGCCGATGAAGAAGTCCCCACCAACACCGGGGACCGAGACATCACGAGCACACCAAGAAGCTCAACCCCCAACGACCAAACTGACGCCGGCAACGTGACCGAGACCGGTGACGTCGGCCACTGTGAAGACCCTGCCGGCACCTCAGCGCCATGGGAACCAACTGACGAGTCCTGCGTGCTCTATGAACACACAAAGCGGTTGCGGAGGCTACTCAGGGAACCGGTGTCTGCTGCGGGTTGGAGCAGCTTCACCACCACTCTTGAGGCCGCAATTGAGGCAGTGACGACAGCCGTGAAGCTCCCCTCCGCAACATCTGGAGGGAGGCCTCGCCGTGAAGTCAATCCCAACTGCCCGCAGCAGATCCAGTCCCTGTACCGCCGCAACCGCCGCCGGGCAGTGAGACTCATCGTCGAGGGTCCCTCCACGCAGTGTCCAGTCCCACTGGACGAGCTCCAGGCCCACTTTACCACCACATGGGCCCCTAGGGAGGTCGACACGGACCTCCTCATGGCCCGAGTGCCAGCGGCAGGCGAGGTATCCATGGCTGCCTTCACCGACGACGAGGTGGCGACCCGCCTGCGACGCTGCGAGAGTACGGCACCGGGGGGCGACCGCTTGACTTACCAACACTGGCGAACTGTCGATCCCGAGGCCTCCTTCCTTGCGGCGGCATTCAACATCTGCCTACGTCATCGCCGCGTGCCAGACACCTGGAGGGAGTCGAGAACGATCCTCATCTACAAGAAGGGAGATCGGCAAGACCCCACCAACTGGCGCCCAATCTCCCTCGGTTGCACAGTCGCGAAGCTCTACGCCGGATGCTTTGCGGCTCGTCTGCAGCAGTGGCTGTCTGACCACCGCGTCCTGTCACGGTGCCAGAAAGGATTCATGCCACACGACGGAGTGTTTGAACACAACTTCGTGCTGCAGGAGCGCTTGGATGCGGCCCGGACGGGCGGTGGAGACCTTTGTGTGGCGTTCCTGGACTATGCCAACGCCTTCGGGTCGGTCGCCCACAATGCTCTCGTCGACGCGGTCCGGGGAGCTGGTGCCGGGGAGGCATTCGCCTCCATAGTGGAAGACCTGTACAGCGGCAACACGACATCCATCGTCGGTGAGGCGGGCATCACGGAGCCCATCAACATCTCAGCCGGGATCCGACAGGGCTGCCCACTGAGCGGGCTGCTGTTCAACTTGGTTCTTGATCCTGTCATCAGGGCGGTGCAGGGAGGCGAAGGGCAGCACAACATCCTCGCCTACGCCGACGACCTCACCCCCTTGGCCGACGACCCAGGGACACTGCAGCAGCGCATCAACATCGTGGCGGCCCTCTCCTCCCGGATTGGGCTCCGGCTGAACCCGGCCAAGTGCAGGACCCTTCACCTCTCCGGCCAGCACCCTGTCGGCACGAGACCCACCCGCTTCCTCATCGAGCGTGAGCCTGTCCCGGCCATCGGGGACTTCGTGGGACACGCCTTCCTGGGCAGACCCGTCGGGTACAGGGTGCTCCACGACGATGCAACCATCAGCGATGCCGTGGACCTCGGCAAGCGCCTCCTCAACTCTGTGCTCGCTCCGTGGCAGAGGCTGGATGCGGTAAAGACGTTCCTCTTTCCCGCGCTCAACTTTGCCATGAGGGCGGGCACCCTAGGAAAGGTGGAATGGCGGAGACTGGACGACGCACTGCGCCCGCTGCTCAAGCGCACGCTGTACCTGCCAAGCAACGCCTGCAACGAATACCTGTATGGGAGCGCGGCGGCAGGTGCGGCGGGCATACCTGTAGCGGCGGACACAAGCGATGCCTGCCGAGTCGACGGAGCCTTCAAGCTCCTCTCCTCCGCCGACGCCGAGATCCGCGACATGGCCCTCCGAGCCGTGACCCAGGTGGTGTCAAAACGCCTACGGCGGGTTGCGGCTGCAGAGGACGTCGAGAGGTACCTGACCGGGGAGACCGAGGGCGACTTCCGGGCCACCTCAACGCAGGTCCAGTCTGTGTGGACCGAGGCCCGGAAGGCCTCCCGCCGCCTTGAAGTGGGGTGGGAGCTGCAGCCCGACGGTGCCCGAATCACTTGCGGAGACGTCTCGGTCTCCGCCAAACATCGCCACAGGGTGATCCGGACCCTCCGGCTCATCCTGACAGCAGCACGGGACACGGCCCTCCAGCAGAAGCCCAACCAGGGCAAGGTGATGGAGTGTGTCGCCTCTGACCCAACCAGTTCCCACTTCATGAGGTCAGGGCGGCACACTCGGTTTGCCGACTGGAGGTTTGTGCACCGTGCCCGGCTGAACCTGCTTCCCTTGAACGGCGCACGCCCGTGGGCCGGAGCTGCCGACCAGCGGTGCAGAGCCTGCGGCTACCCCCGGGAGACGCTGCCACACGTCCTCTGCCACTGCATGGTGCAGAGCCGGGCCCTCACGGACAGGCATGACCAAGTGGTGAGCCGTATCAGGGCTGCAGCCGCTGGCCGGTTCACCATAACTCATGAGAACCAGCCCGTCGGCGGCACAAGCCTGCGACCTGACCTGGTGCTCGTCCGGGGTGAAGAGGCCCTCATCATCGACGTCTGCTGCCCCTTCGAGAACCGTCGCGCCGCACTGGAGGAAGCTCGCCTACAGAAGATCACCAAGTACGAGCCCGTGCGGCAGCTTCTACTGCGGCGGTTCCAGAGGGTGGCAGTGGAGGCCGTGGTGGTGGGGGCGCTCGGGTCGTGGGACCCTGCTAACGACCGAGTCATGCGTCGCCTGTGTAGCAAACCACATGCACGGACCCTGAAGAGACTGATAGTCAGCGAGACTATAGCAAAATCGAGAGACATGTACGTAAAACACGTCGGGAAGTGAGGACCATCGATGTTCACACAACTTCCCCCTCCCCTTTTTTTTCATTTTTTTTTCATTTATTGTTTTTGAATGTTACAGCTTATTTTATGCAATGAACAAGTGTTAGAGATGTAATTTTTTATGTAACAAGCATCAATAAAAATCTGTTCTTATCAGCTTAATATCTGATATGGACCTAATTGGTCCAAGATATTAAACTTATTTTTGTAAATGGTGTTCCTCCGAAGCTTGCTTCGAGGTCGCCAGGGTTGGCCCGGTATTGCACTACCTCCGGGAGCGGCCCATCCCCCTCTGGGGGAAAATAATGAATTCCAAAATGAGATCAGGAGTTATAATCTCCGCCTTATGGATGGCCAAGGTGGAGCGGGAGTATAGTATCGTTTCTCCGCTTGCTTGGCTAAGCGACGGTACCCGTTCTCGGTGTTGGCCGAGATCGAAGAAGCTGGCCGAGTTGTTCGAAGCTTGCAAGCGCGTGCTGAAACTCCGTTTGTTGCGTGGTCCCCGGGGTTTCGATCCCAGTCATGACGGCCTTCTCGTCAGTGGCGCCTTCCATAAGCAGTTCTTAATGTACCGATTCCCTTTTATTTATTTCATGTGTTGGACTGTATAATAAAAAGGCACTCTTTTATATGCTCCTCTGACGATGCTAACAAGAGGTTACACTCACTTATGTGCAACCTTTTGTTAGCATCGATTGCACAGCAGACGCGCTTTCCCCAAACACAGAACTGGTTGTTTAGTTGCATGACGCACCAGACACGGTAACAAGGTGAGGATTGATGAAGGACAGCGCAAACTGCTGGGAATGGTTCTTATAGGTACAGCCGAATGATATAATGGGTATAAGTCAAGAATGTACTAAGTAAACATCACCGCATACAAACCACGGCACTGAATCGCCCTGCTGGCCAACCAAAAAAAGCCGTAGGCATGAATCATGCGACATTAATGCAATGTATTAATACACACCAGCCTCAGTAGCAGGCTATTTGTGCGTCGTGGAGGAACAGTGGCTGGTGGCAATGAGGATGGGGAGGGAGGAGGAAGCTTCTCGGACATTCTCACCATCTATCTCGCAAGAGGTGGTATTGCTCCCTCTCAGAAGTGGCGTACGGCGATGTCAGAGACACAGGCACAAGGGAGTGACTCTGAGAAGGGTCAGTTTGCATGACCCCATAGGCAGGACAGGCCTACAAGCATAGGCCTCAAGCCAGGGCATTTTATTTGCCCAAGCCCTCTTCTTTATACTTCCTGAATGCCTGAATAGACCGATCTCACGAGGGGTTGCGCGACGCCACCGCTCCCGCGGTGCATTGTGGTACCTGTAGTTCTCCCCAGTTTTCGGGCCGCGTCGGCGCGCATTGTACGCCCGGCGTTTGGAAATTTTCGGGTTAGCACGAGACTTTTAGCCAGGTGTTGACTCATGGTTTTCAATCGGTGGCTTCACATATTGTATGCCACGGAGCTACAACAACAGCACCAGGCAAAAAGGCCTCGGATATTATGTCTTCCCGCAAGAAGCATGGCAAAGAAAGGTCGACAGAGCCGGACAGAGCGGCAGGAAAAATTGAGTTTTACGATTTGTTTCGCGATTTGCTTCATAATATATATCCAATTATTGCACGTCAGCTAAAATATGCAAGATTACAGGGCACGAGACATACAGCGTGCCGAAGTGTTCCGTAAGCTGGAATCTCTCTGACCATTTGCTCCATAGCGGCCTATTCGTTGGTCTATCTCAAATAGGACCTCCGCACTGGTTTGCGGAGGCCGTTTTTAGTACACTTCTTACTCGGTGTATTTTGGTGGTTATAATTGTTATTGCGACGACATGTTTCAAGCACAACTGTGCTTTAAATGATCAGGACAATCACTAAAAAAGACCAGCGATTCCCGATTTGCACCACTTGATATAAAACAAATTTTTTTCAGAAGCAGCCTTCATTTGTTTTTTTCCATACCAACGCGAAAAGATTACATAATGCAAATTAGAAGTGCAACACGTACTTACCGCCAAAAATGTAACAAACGAACCTCATCCATTTTGTGGTGGTCTATTAGGCTGGTGTTACTGATCCATTCCGCACAAGCACCAGTCGAGACCGCAGAAAAAAGCCTCCCCCGTCGGGCATTGATAGATGCCAATTATTACGGCGCGTCAGGCATGGCCTTTCTGTAATCAGTCCCTTGTGTGCAGGCCTCTCCCGCTGTTCATCTGTACTCTGTCGCACAGGCGGCTATCAACGAGAATGAAACAACTTTTAGAAAACTATCGCTGAGCCAGAAAGTCTACTTAGCTCCTCTTACTTGATGGCTGATTAAACGTTATGCACAAGACATGAGCACCACCAAGCTCAGTTTTTCATCCCATTTGATGCTGTTCCGTGGTGCTACACCGAGCCGATGGTCCCTCGAATTTTCTTGTTCCTTGCTATTGCACTAGACGCTCACTTGTTTGCAAGGTAATTGAGATGTCCGAGGAGTCAGAATGCTCGAGTAGTGGCGCCGTTGTTTTTTTTGTTTTTGTTTTTTCCGCGGCCGCAATGGAATTACCCCGTGAACGGCAGTGAGCTCACGCGTTCACGAAGACGAAGAAGCAGACGACGACGAAGCAGAAGACAAAGCTATTCTAAAGCGATAAGACGACTGAAACTGCTTTTCTGCACTTGCTGAGGAAAGTAAGGCATCACAAACAACACAATCTTATGAAGTAAAAACATGCCAGAGAATCAAGGTGATACCGTGGCGTGCCAAATGATAATCTATGATGATGTACATACGCGCAGCGGTATGTAGCCGGGAAGGGATGACTACAAGTAGCATGGCGGCGGCACCACTTCCGGAATGCGCGCGCCTGCGCAGTTCGCTTGGTGACATCGGTCTATTGACCTCGGCTGTCCCATATCGACCAGCAGAATTCTGCTCTAGTGCCTTGCACACACGCAAAAGTAAAGCTTGAACTACCTGACTTGGCTTCCAGTTGCAATCAAGGTCACACAGCACAAAAGTTGACAATGGGGTCAGTGCTTTTATTTTCTTTCCTCAGAAGGCTGACTCAATCTTGCGTTAATATGGCAATTTGGGCCAGTTGAAACAGGATTGTAGACAGCCGCCGAAAAACACAAGGACAAGAGAGCTAAACACTGGCGCTGTGTGCCAGTGCCAGTGTTTACGTCTCTTCTTGTCCTTGTGTTTTTCAACACCTGTCTACGATCAATCTTGTGTACTTCGAAGATTTGTATTTACGAGGAACCCAAAAAGTTTCATCATCCTACATATTTCAGTGTCAACAACATTGTCCCTGCTTCGAACACCGCCAAAAATATGCACAAATTTATAAAACAGACTGTCAACGAGGAAGTTTTTGCTTGCAGTTCAAAAGATAGACAACTATTATTGTCGGCATTTCGAAGCAACATTCATGTGCTTGCAATGACTGCACAAACATATGGACAAGGACGCATGGCAGATTGAGACAGAAGGCACATTAGCAATCAATCATACATTTTTCTTCTTCATCATAAGCTTGCCCACCACAAAGTACTAGCAGGAAAAAATTTATTTGCCGCTCAAAAGGAGGGATTTGGTGCAGCAGTGATTGGCTAAACTTGTAGGTGTGCTATCGTTCCGAGGGTCATCTCAAAAAGTGAACCTTGTTCTTAGTCGTGCTCGATACCTGCGCAACAGTGAAGAAGAGGTTTGACTTGCGTTTCTTCTCTACTAAGACCAACCTAAACATATGCTGCAACACTTACGTTCAACTACAATCAATGCCCTTCTGTAATCACAAAGGTGCCCAGGATTGATGCCATGCTCCAACTTAATGCTAATTACTAATTGCTAACTACCTTGCCTATGCACTGATGCCCTCATGAGTGATGGCTAGAATGCCAATCTTGACCCACAACATATCATCACCAACACGTACAATAAAGGTGGCAGACAGACCTTTCCTAGCACACAAGATCCAAACTTGGCATCTACTTTTGTTGGACAACGCTACAATCAGGGACAACTTCCTGTGGCATTGCCTTAGAGGAGAGCACATGACCAGCTTGAATTGGCGTTCAAGCACACGCTCCTGTACTTTGACTGAATTTCTCCAGGCAGTTGTCCCTGGGTACAGTGAAGTAAGATTAGTATCCACAATGCCCTACACAATTAACCATTTGGCTTTAGCAGTCTATTTTGTTTTCTTTAACAGTCCGAAATATCTGGATGGGGGAAAGGGAGGCTGGACCCCCCCCCTCCTTCCTGTTTTTCCTTTTCCGATGCTACTGGTAAGCTGGGCTACCCCTGCCAGTGGCATAGTCTGGGGGGGGGGGGGGGGGGGGGCGATGGGGCTTTACCACCCCCCCAAATCCAGCCGACCCTTCGATATACACACGCACTTTGATTTCCCCTTCCCTCCGCACCCCAAGTCATAAACATCCAAGCCACCTCAGGGCCCCCCCCCCCCTTCCCCCCCCAAAAAAAAATTCCTGGCTATGCCACTAACCACTGCCCATGTGTTGCATAAAAAAGTTGATGTTAAAGGGATGCTGAACCGAAATCTGGATTCCCCAAAACACGCGGCAAAAGCGTGCAACGGGATGCTACAAACACCAAAACATCACTCATACAGCGATATCTCGAACGGATGACCGCATTTTTCAAAAAAAGAGGCGCATTTGGCAGGAACGTTGACGTTGTGTTTCTCCGAGAAGGAGAGGGAACGGCCTCGCGTCTTCTCTGCCTCGCGGCCTTGAGGGAGCGAAGCGAAGAGAAGAGAAAACTAAATATCTTGACGTCACACGTCTCGTCGGCCTGGTTCAATCTTGACTTCTTTTTCCAAAAATACGGCCGTCCATTTGAGATATCGCCTTCCTAGTAGTGTTGTAGGGATTGTAGCGTCCCGCCTACATCTCCAGCATTGTTTTTTTGAAATCCAAATTTCAGTTCACCATCCCTTTAAGTACTGTCTCCTCATTCTACTTTCACAGCTTCATATTCTGGCTGCCAGGCACGGTGAAGTCAGGTGCAGTTACAAGTAGATGGCTCTATCAATTTTGGCCGTTTGCTTCTATCCCTCAGTGCAGTCACAGCAATCCCTTTGTGGCCCCACAGACACCACACACCCAGCACAACAAGAAAATGAATGTGTGAAAGCAGATCGGAAAACGGCTTTGTCGGAATCGCTAATACAGAGCCCCTAGCTCCCCCTCAGCTCGCAACGTCCTCGTAGTGCCACATCTCCGATGTTTGTACAACAATTCTACAATCGCACTACAAAAAAGGAGGAATGCCCCAGTGCCTCCACTTCCCATCAGTCCAACAGGTGCAAACCGACAACAATGTGCTGCTCCAAAAACAACTGCCACGAAGAGATAACCCTGGGGTGCTTCAACCCTGGGGTCCTGCCAAGGCGTGCACAACCATTGCTCGACGAGGAAACGGGAAGGGAAGAAGTCCGCCGTCACTGTGCACTGGTGTCCGCCGCTCTGCACGCTCCACTTACTCCACGTCGTCTTCCACCAATGGATCCGCCGCTCCAGCACTGTCAGCCAGGCGCTGTGCAGAGGAAGCACATAGGCACACGTCAATGCTTGGTGCACCCAAAGGGAGCGTGAAATGTACAAGGTGATCAATTTGAATTCAAACATATCTAAAGGTGAACTAAAGCGGTCTGCAGGGGTGAATTACACAAACACGGGGACACAATATTGTCCCGGTAAGTCGAATAATTAAAGAGGCACTAAACCCCTTCCCGCAATAGTCTATTTATGGTCATAACTTAAAGGGCAACTCCGCTTCATTTTTGGTTTTAAACAATGCAGTCCTCTTCAGTATCGCCTAGGAAGACCACACGTCAAATATTACGATGCAGTTCTGTCTAAATGTTTCTTAAATGGTCCGGCAAACTTTGCAACTCATTAAGTTGCCGAAATCGGCTGACTCGAGCAGGCGAATTCAGGCGCAACCAAAAGCGCAGTCAAGGCTATGGTGTGGGCATAGCCAACAGTGAGCTAAACGTCATCACCATTGCCCCCTTTTGCTTGTTTTTACTTTTCTGTGCAAGCGTAGCAGATGACGTCAGCAATGTTTCCTCTCGGCGCTCAACGGCGGCCACGTGATTGGCGCAACGCGCCTGCGCAGCGCGCCTCTTGGGAGCCGTGCAGCTGACCCGCTATGGTTCCGCCGTTACTGCCCTCTTTCGCATCACAACCGTCGTCGTCGTCTCACAGTTTGTGATTATTGTCTCTCGGAGTTTCGTCCACACTAGGGACACTACGTGCGCAGACATGTGCCGCAGTTGTGCAGACGTCGTCGAATGTTGTAGACACCAAAACGTGATGAAGGGTGCAAACGTCACTTGCTTCGCACACCCGCCCCAATCCCGCCCCTCATTCCGTAGAGGATCATGTGACACCTCACACCACATGTGGCCATGTTCTTGGCAGCCCGAGGCCGACGTTGCCGAACGGAGCCGAAGTTTCGGTTTCGATTTCCGCTCGTGTTTAAAATTAATTTAAAAATATATATCCCATTTTCCGCAAAGCAAACAATGTGGAGTCTTTTACTAGGGCTTTTAAATGCAAAATCACTCATTATCCCGACATCTTCAAAATTGAGCTGAGTTGCCCTTTAATATATGGCCTCCAAGCATCCTAACAGAACAATAACATTGATGTGTGGCCGATTTCTCTATTAAAGTCAGTATGAAAGATTGATTACCTTAGAACTTGTATCGGGCTTATCATGTACAACACCTCGCATGACAATGCACTAGTCATGCGCAGTCTGCCAGGCGCTATCTGATAAATACCACCTACGTCCATTAACCTGTCTTCTTGTTGCTCTACACACCATGCTGTCGCCTGCCTCTTCATCATCCTGATACATTGTGTGAGAAGTAGCCGGTACGGGCCTGAGCATAGTCAGACGGCGCAGCGACGACGATGGATCTGCTCAAAACATCGAAGCCCTTACAACTGTCGGACAACCTCTTCGAAAACTGGAAACGCTTCAAGCAGAGTTTGAGATGTTTCTCAAGGCTATGGCATCGAAAGAATGTCCAAGAAGTGAAGCTGCAAAAGCTGCAGTCCTGATGAGCATTGCTGGCAACAAAGCCCTTAACGTCTTCAACCACTTAAAGTTTGAAGACGGAGAAGACCAGGACGACTACGCAGCCCTCGTCAGAAAGTTTGAAGCCTACTTCATTGAGATGAGCAATGAAGTGCATGAACACTATGTATCTCACTCCAGAGCGCAAGCCGAGGGAGAACCTGTCAAAAAGTTTATTCGAGATCTGAAAAAGCTAGCCGCCCAGTGCAATTTCGGAGAACTGCATGACTAAATGATCAGAGATCAGAATGTGTCTGGCACGTATGATTCGAAGCTTTGTGAGAAAATGCTTTGGGAGAAGGGCCTAACTTTGCTAAAGGCAGAAGAAATGTGCAAAGTAGCGGAGACTCTGGCGCAACAAAACGAAGTCCGGAACAAGGCGGCCGACCGTATCGATGCTATCTCACAACAAGCGGTATCACAACGCAGCAAGGCGGACCAAAAAGACAAAAAGCAATTACGCTGCGACAAATGCAATCGGCAACACTAAGTCAGACGGTGTACCGCCTACGGAAAAAAATGCAACTGATGCCGGAAGCTTAATCACTTCGCGATTTGCTGTCCTAGCTCGACCGTAGTGGCCGATGTAAGCAAAAATGACGTCGACGATGACTTTAAACATTCTTGAGAGGCAGCGAAAACAGAAACCACGAATGGATTATCAAAGCTCAAGTTTCTGCTCGAGAAGCAGAAGTCTTTTTTAAAGTTGACACCGGATCTCAAGTCAGCCTGCTACCGTTTTTTGTGCACAAAAAGCTGCGAGCGACAGAAGCGTTGAAGCCCAGTAGCTCTATCTTGCGAGCATACGCAGGAGGAGTCATGAGCAACTTTGGAACAACGTGCTAGAAGGTGACCGTCGGAAACACTAAAAGTGTGAAGTTTTTTGTCGTGAAAGGTGGTCGCCAGGCCATACTGGGACTGGACGCAAGCAAAGCCTTAGGAACTGTGTAGAGCACAGTGGATGCTATCAGCACCTCGGAGGAGTACAGGCTACCAAAAATTTCAGGCATCTTTTTGAAGGTTTCGGCTGCCTGAAGCAGCCCTACAGTATGGTCCTGCAGCCTGGTGCCGCCCCAGCCGTCTAGCCGGCCCGGAGGGTACCCCTGTCGCTCCGTCAGCCTCTCCGCGACGAGCTCCGAAGAATGGAGCAAGCGGGAATCGTCAAAAAGGAAGACTCCCCCACTGATTGTGTAAGCCCTTCGGTTTTAGTCAAGAAAAAAGATGGCAGACTTCGGGTCTGCAAGGACCCAAGAATTAATGAGCATGTAAAGAGGCAGCATTACCAGCTTCCCAAGCAGGAAGACATAGAAGGAGAACTGGCCGGCGTCGTCTACTTTAGCTGCCTAGACGCAAACTCTGGATTCCACCAGGTACCACTGGACGAGCGAACATCAAAAATATGTACTTTCGGAACTCCTTTTGGCAGAAACCATTACATCCGGCTGCTTTTTGCTATCTCATCGGCGCCAGAAGTTTTCCAAAGGACACCGAGTCAAGTATCCGATGGTCTACCTGTCGTGCACGTGTATACTGAAGACATTCTGGAGTGGGGCGCGATGCAGCAAGAGCATGATAACCGTTTAGTGGCAGCCTTGACAGCTGCTGAAAAATCTGGATTAAAGATTAACGCACAGAAATGTATGTTTGACTTAATGAAAATATATTTTCATGTGACATCATCGGAGTAAAAGATATTTTGCCCAACCCAAAGCTGGTTCAAGGTCTGCTGAAAATGTCAGTACCAAAGAACAAAACAGACATTCAGCGTACGCAAGGTGTGATTAACCACTTTGGAAGGTACCTAAGTGCCGCAGCTGTCTGAAAGAATGGAGCTGCTGAGAGCGCTTATAAAGTCTCATTTGGTGTTTGAGTGGACCGAAAACCATGTGAGTGAGTATAACAGTATCACGCAGATTCTCAGTACAACGCCCACATTAGCACTCTTCGATCCTCGAAAGGAGACGAAAATACCGTGTGACACATCGAAAGACGACGTTGGTGCGGCACTTTTGCAGTGTCACGGCGGTCACTGGTGACCAGTGGCATACGCATCCTGAGCGCTAACGCAAGTGGAACAACGTTACGCACAAATTGAAAAAGAGGCGCTTAGCATTTTCTTTGGTAGCGACAAATTTCACCAGCTTGTTTACGGACAGAAGGTCTTCATTGAGACAGAGCACAAGCCGCTCTTGTCTGTTGCAATGGAAGGAATTACAACTATGTCCTGCAGTATGTTCCAGGAAATCACCTAGTCTTGGCAGACATGCTGTCACAAGCGTCTCCCGTCGGTCAGGTCGACAAGGCTGGTGCCACAGAAGACACACGCAATTCAGCTCCTGGGTTCCATAATGACGGAAGCATTGCTAGAAAAGCTGGTCAAAGGAACTGTTCAAACCACTACTACCAGAAGCGCATCAGCAGCTTGTCAGCCAGCCAGCCACTCCAAGGTGAACTCAAAGCTTTTGCATCAAAACTATCTGTGGTGAATGGAATACTCTTTAAGAGAACAAAAGTGTTCATACCTAGAATAATGCAATGAGAAATTCTACAAAAATTCACGCCGATAATCTCAGCTTACAGAAATGCAAAGAAGGGGCACGACGTCCCGTTTTCTGGCCGGGTCGAAACAGCGACATCACTCTGCTGATACAAAACTGCTCTACGTGTAAAAGGTTCTCTTACAAGCAACTAGTACAACCGCTACCAATGCGCCCAGTTTCGAGATGTGCATGGTGCAGGTTCGGGGTTGATATCTTTGTTTTAGAGCGCAGCTCTTAGGGGCCCGTTCCCGGCTTGAGCGGCGTCGGCGTCGCCAAGGTCATCCCAAGGTCACGTGACCCCCCCCAAGGTCATGTGACCCCCAAGGTCACGTGACCTTGGGGGTCACGTGGGGTCCTCTTGGGATCACGTGACCCCCAAGGTCACGTGATTCCTCGAGGTCACGTGACCCCTCCCAAGGTCATCTCAAGGTCACGTGACCCCAAGATGACCCCACGTGACCCTTTGAAGGTCACGTGACCCCTCTGAGGTCACCTTGGGGGTCACGTGACCTTGAGGTGACCCCCATGTGACACCCAAGGTCACGTGACCCCCAGGTCACGCCTCCCCGAGGTCACGTGACACCCCCCCCCCCCCCCCCCCCCCCGAGGTCACGTGACCCCCCCCCCCCCCCCGGAGCATATTAAAGAATGAGGGGAGGAGAAGGAGGTGGGGGCTACCCTCCCCTCAGTACCCTTCACTCCTCCTCCTCAAGAGCTGCGCTCCAATTCGGCGTTACAGGGATTTGTAAACGGCTTTCACTTTTTTTGGAGGAAACTCATACCTCGTTGCGTTTGACGCACTTTCCAATTTCCCACAGGTCGAAAAGCTGACGGACACAAGTGCAAGAACCGAAAACGGCACTCAGCTCCACGTTTGCAAGGCACGGCATGCCGCTCGAAATCTTCACCGACAATGAACCGCAGTTTTCCAGCCCCAAGTTCTCCGCCTTCTTGAATGGGTATGACTTCAAACACATCACGCCTAGCCCCCACCACCCTCAGTCTAACGGACTCGCAGAAGTGGGGGTGCAGGTTGTCATGCAGATCCTGAAGAAAACTGAAGAGTCAAGGGACGACTTCTGGTTAGGCCTGCTGGCCTACCGCTCTTCGCCACTAGAAGACTGCCAATCTCCCAGGGAACAACTTCAAGGCAGGCGTTTTCGGACTAACATTCCAGATTTTGGCGAGATGACAGCCACTACAATAAAGAAACATGTTCAAACTCGAAAAGGGCAACCTCTATAACCATTAGCTCAAGGGGACGTTGTGAGGATTGGAGACCATGCATGGTAGCGGAAAGCCAAGGTGGTTGATACGGCCGCTCCCATGTCTTACCATGTAATAACAGAAGATCGCCAAATGCTCAGACGTAACCGGCAACACCTGCTACATACCAGTGAGCACTATGCCAAATCGAGTAACCCTGCACTACCAACATCCAAGGCGATGCAGCGACAATGGCCGCAGTATGTCGGGTCCAGACAGTGGTGGCACCGAGCTACCAGTCCAGACAGGGTCGACTCCGAGCAACGAGGCGACGTCACAGCACTCAATGACGTCACACGTCCAGAAAACTTTTAACGGCAGTGCGGCACCTAAGGGCAACAGCAGCCTGGCCCGTTATGATGACGCAGCCCTTAGCACCGTCACGCCAACAGCAACCTCCAGGCGATGGTGTGGCAGCGTCACAAGCCAGGAAGTCGACTTGCACAGTGAAGCCTCCGGAGCGTCTCCGTTACGACTTTGACTTCCATCAAGTGGCATGAACTTGTACTTTGCCTTTTGTTACCCATGAAGAGATGTATCGGGCTTATGTGCAACGCCTCGCATGACAATGCACTATTCATGCGCAGTACGCCCGGCGCTGTCAGATAAATACCGCCTAGGTCCTTTAAACTATCTTTTTGTTTGAAGAAAAAGTAAAACAGCACCAAAAATATGGAGGACAAGACGAAGTATACAAACAGAGCACTGTACACTTCGTCTTCTTGTCCTCCGTTTTTTTGGCGCTGTTTTACTTTTTTTTTTCAAACATGTACCACCAAGTCATTGAACTTTCTAGCATATTACGAACTACCATATTACAGACCATGCTGTTGACTGCCTCTATCATCCTGATGCAGAACTAGGTACCGATTTCAATAGAGAAATCAGTCACGAACGAATCTGATGTTTGGTTTTCTAGGATCTCAGAACAATCAGACACCAGATGGCGCCGTCGGACGAGGAGAAGCCCTTCTCATCCGATGGCGCCATCTGGTGTCAGCAATAGTTGCGAGGTAATCAATCTTTGATACCGATTTCAAAAGAGAAATGGGCCACGCAGGAATGTAATGGTTGGCTATTTTTAGGACGCTTAGGGCCCATAGATTGAGTTATGACCATAAATAGACTATTGCAGAAAAAAATTTAGTACCCCTTTAAGTAAATCCTTTTCTTTTTTTTTTCTTTCTTATTAATGAAGATAAACACATCGTACCAATCGGAAACTTGCAAAGAATCACTAAATTTGAGAAAAAATTGGAGCACGTGGGAAGTGCAGTGGTGCACTAAAGTTGCCGTCCGTGCAACAGGCGCAGGCCTGGTGATGCAAAAAAGCAGGCGACTGTTGATGCTGGACCTGATGCTCGGCTGCTACGACAAAAGGCTGAAGTATTGGCCAAGAAGCAACCCAGGGAATGCAGACGCACAAAGCGAGCACCCTGCGGCTTAATTACTTTTCAAATTGGCATTGCTGTAATTCGCTTCGGAAGGGCGCCTCCCAACACTGTCACAGTGCATGTAGAACTATTACGGGTGGGCTCACAGAACCTATTCTAGGTATAAACTACTTGGTGCTACATTGTCAAGGCTGGCATAGCTCCTGCAGTGCTGCAGCCTTGCACTGCTGTGAGAGCATGCGAGTTAATCTTGGGTTTTATTCCTGTACCCTCTCTTGCCAAGGAGATGCCAAACGAACCCACGTGCTTATGTAAGTAACCTTCGCAGCACCGGAATCTATGCTATCCTCGGCGACGTAGTACAAAATAATTGACTCCGAGCATGAGCTTACTTCCAGCAACTTGCAAAAGTAGCTATTTGCACATCGTCATCAGCACGAGCCGTGGGTAAAGCAACTTACCGTCTGCCACAAATAACAAATTGATAGGTGCAAAAAGACACTAGCAAACGCTGGCTGTCAGCATGTGCGTAACCACAAAGCATGCAGCTACGGCCGCGGTGAATACTCCCTACCCAACTCCCCCGTTTACAAGGAATGAATTGCCGGCCGAGTGCAAATACTGGAAACCAAAACAAAGCTGCATCCCGACTTCCGAGTCCCGCCGTGCCCAGTCTGGCAGCTTTGGGTGCCGGCTCCGAGACAGCCGTAAGGGAGAGAAGCCCTCCCCACCTGGGAGACGATGGGCAGGCGCTGCAGCAGCAGGTGGAAGACTTGCGGGGGCAGGGTTTGCTGCAGGACCTGCAGCAGCTGCTGGGGCTGCCCGCACACCGCCACCGCGCTGCTCAGGTGCTCCACCCCGTTTTCCACATCTCCTGCATCAGAAAAACCACAGAGTTCACAGAATGAATCTAGGGAAAGGGTTCTCAGAGTTTTAAACCTCGAGGAACCCTTATTAGATTTGAATGGCAGCTGAACTACTCTTTTCAGTCTCAACATTGATCCAAGAAAACAGTGCAGAAGCCAGAAGCTTACAGACCTTGTGTACAACAAGGCACCACACACTAGGGAAATGGTTCTCAAGCATTGATGTTTCAGGGACCCTTTCTGGATCAGTGGATGCGATCCACAGGGCGGGGGGGGGAGGGAGGGGGGGGGGAGGGGGGGGGCATTAAAGAGGGTTGTTAATTTAAGTAAACTAGATGTGTGCAAAGGAAGAGATTAGCATGGAGAACACATGGTTTGGTCCATTTAATTCTATAGAGAAGCCAGCATATGAAAACTTAATATTTATTGCTTGGCCTGGCTGATGGTTGAGGGCTTCAGGGAACCAAAGGAAACCTTCAGGGACCCCAAAGGGTTTGTGGACCTCTATTTGAGAACCACTGCACTGGGGAGCATTTGGCTCGTAAGTATGCATCACTGAGTGACTCAGGCCTGCTGGAATAGCACTTAAAAATGCCATGGTTAGGAAAAAGACGACCGAGGAAATTTGTGAACTCGGGGAACCCATGAGGGTACTCTGGGGAACATTCCTAGGAACCCAGTTTGAGAACCCATGATCCCGAGCAGGGGTCTCCAAACTGTTTGGCTAAGGGGCTGGGGATTAGGGATCTATCATGGCCTCGAGGGCCCGAAAAAGAAAGAGTAATTACAAAAGGGGAATAACGAAATAAATAAACCTATAGTAGGTGAGAGGTCAAGAACGAAGTCGAAGCTCCTCCCAGCTCTTTCCACTTTAGCAGAGCAAAAACTGGACGAGGCAACCTCCCCTCCAGCATTTTCTCTGCTAAAATGGGAAGGGCTGGGAGGAGCTTCGACTTCGTTCATGACCTTAAACTGACCATGAATAAGCACAGCATTAAAACACAGAAATGAATGTTAACTGATTGCCTATTAATAGCAAATGTCACTCGTGCCACCTGAGTTTTATTGCCCAATCTTTATTCCTTCCTGACAATAATACAAACTTTATTAACGGCCCTCATACAATTATTTCGCATGCTACTCAAATCGTGGATTTCACTGTTTCCGATACTGAGTAATCCTATTGCAAAACAAAAGTTACTTGTCAAGTTGAAAAAAAAAAATCGAGCCCCGATACAAGCGTTTTGTGACGAGTATTCTGGCATGACAAGCATTCCTCGTAAGAGATGCCCTCCAACGAGTTGACCTATGGGACAAGTTCACCTACGACCAGTTGGCCTGTTACGACTGGGCTTGTGATGAGTTCTCCTAGGACCAAATGAAGTGGTCTCTCCTCAGGACCACCGAACCCGTCCTCTAAAACAATTCATTCGAGAGCGCCGTCTTTTTTCATTTTATTGCTTTCTTTTATTTTTGCCATCGTGACCTCGAAATTAACGAAAATTTTGCCGGCAATTGTTTTTCAGATTTATCCAAAAACATGGAACCCTAGTTGTAGCTAGCCTAGAGTGTTTGACATCAAAAATAAACATAGAGAACAGTCTACGCGGGGAAAGACTGAGGGAGAGCAGGAGGTGAGAGCAGTAATGTGATTGGTTCGAGTCATTTTGAAATACCTCTCGAAGCAGCAAGAAAAAAAAAAAAAAGCTTTTGGAGCTTAAGCTTACACTTTAATTTTGTTTATAACGCTGCAAATATTATATTAAGATTCATGTGCAAGTCCAATTAAAGGCAATGTCCACTTTGACTTCTCAGCTATGGGCAACCTTTTAACATCAATTGCACAGCTGAAGTGATTCCCCCCCAAACACAGAGCTAGCTGTTTCCACCAGGTTCTAGAGGCTGTAATAAAGCTGAATTTATCATTTTAATACCAATGCAAATTACATTTTATATCTAGAAGCTTCCATCCACTGGTCCTGCTAGTTTAGTTTTCATTTACTCCCACCAACAGAAGTTCATGTAAACCTTGCAATACCAAAGTATCCTCGATAAATCTCAAATTGGGGAAAAAAAAAAGAAAGGTATTGCCAGGACAATGCAGTCTATCATATATCCTAGCCCAAGTTTAATTCAGGAATTATATGCAACATCCCACTCTGGGAGGGATGGGGGTGGGGGGAGATAGGCGCTAAGCATGCCAGCAGAAGTCGCGTACCAGGCACCATAGTGAAAGAGCCGTACGCGAGAACAGTTCATTTAGGCATGCGACAATGCAAAGGGCAAAGTCTATCTTGGCACATCAAGACGAGGTGGTTCAGCAAGACTCTGCAAGTTCCCCGAACACTATAGTTTCCCAGCAGATATTTTCATTGACACGCAGGCCGAGTCGCTTGCAATGCGTCGTGCAACGAGCGCGTCTCCTGCCGTCGCTCGGAGAAAAGTAAGCATGACGTCCTCCAACCGATGGTGATTAGGGCAGAAATTCCCCGATGTTGCCTCAACTTTCCCAGACCTGCAGAATTCCCTGACCATTCCCGGATTCCCGAATGGCTAGACACACTGGCAAGGGCTTTCAAATCAGCAGGCAGTGCAAAAACACAAACAAAACAGCTAAAAAAACAGAAAAAGCAAACAAGCAGTTTGCAAACCTTGTGCCAGCAGCTCCTCTCCCATCTGCACCTCGTGGATGAAGAACTTCTGCACTGCTTCATAGTCCTTCAGGTCGGGAAGCTGCAAAGATTGTGCGGGTTTTTGTGAACGAACGGCGCCACTGTCACCCTTCTAGATTGAGAAACAGAACTATTTTGATTGTGACTAAGATGTTGCACTTTTGGAACAATTAAGGCTGGTTTAGAAATTTGCACTTGAGTATGACTGCTTATGACTGCACGAAGGTCCGCGCAGCGTGTCGTAGTCACACTCGGGAGAAAATAATTAAACCAACCTTAAAAGTAGTTCACAATTTTTTAGATTTTAGTTCACGTGGTTTAATATTACCCGCAAATTGAAAGATAGCATAAAACTAGCCAGCTTGTTTTGCAAAAAGGAGGCACTAAAAATGTAGTTACAAATTTCTGATCCATATCTAGCTTGCTCATATTTCCTAAAAAAGTTGAAAAAGCCCTTCTGCGGCATTCAGACGACTCATTCACCAATCATTCGGTGCTAACTGAATCACAGTGTGGATTTCTAAAGAAATAGCTCGTGGAATATGCCTTATTATCGCAAAAGAAATCAGTATTACAAAACTGTAGCCTAAGCAGACGATGCTTGAATTCTTCAATGATTTCAGAAAAGCTTCACTGTCCACAACATACACTGGTCCTTGATAAACTCTTATTATTAACTTATTCATTCATCCATAAAATGGCATTAGCAGTGTGTTTCAGAGAATGACTATGTTTGCTAGCCACTTCTAGTCTGGTGTGCCACATGGCAAAATACCTGGCCCACTCTTTTGTTCAATGTATATATTATTAGCAATATACTGTAAACGACTAAATTTTCGCTAGGGCCTAATTTTCGCAAAAAATACATCCCGCGAACAATTCGGGCAATATGTGAATACTACGGGAGCTGCACTCGATCGCGAAAATTAGAACCCAGAAATAATTTCGAATTTTCAGCTTTGGCCGCATTCGCAAAAATCTGAGCCTGCGAAAATTAAGTCGTTTACAGTATGCCAAAAACTACACTTTATCATGTATGCAAATGACACTAGCATTTCCTGTCTACGACAGGTTTGCATGAGCTTATAAGTACAGGAAATGCAGTCTTCGAAAAATGTCTTTAGACGAAAGCTATTGTATTTAGACCCATAAATCAACAAATCGTTTCAAATCATACGTTAAAAACTGGTAGTGGCCAGACTGGAATAGTAGACCAGCCCAAAAGAAAGCGTAATGTTTTTTTTAACATAGGCAGTGGGATGCTTACATAAATACTAGGGTGCTTTCATGTTCACTTTGCTTAGGGTGGAGACATCTGGCCATTTTGTCCCACACGTTTATTTTTCTTTTTTGTTCAGGAGCGCGTGAAAGAGCGTGTCCCTGCACGCGTTTGTGGCGCTGACTGTGCTATGGTGACATTTTGTTTTTGTCGATTTCTTCGTATTTTCCCCGTGAGCTTGTGCTGTCGGCATCGGGTACTACAAAGGGTGGCATCACCCTAAACAGAAGGGCATTGAGGCACCCTAATAAATACTTTATTCACAAACTTGTGGAAGTAGTCAATATAATATGTCACTGTCGCTCTCCTTTGTCTACAAATATTAAGGCTTTATCATGCCTCATTTTGCTCACAAATCAACTATTGCCATTTGGATTGGGGTGCCACAAATAAAATAATTTAAAATATCAACAAAATAATATTTAATAAAAAAAAAGCAGCATTCCCTAGCAATGTATTTTTTTTTTTATGACACTCGCGCCAAACTATTCTTTTTATGCACAGCATTATAAAATTTACCAGTGTTTATGCTTACACATTAACTTTTTATTTCTCATCAAATTGATCAAGTGGAGGCTGGGGGAAAAAGAAAAGCTTCAAGGGACACCGACAACCCCCAAAATTTTTATTTATTCTTTTAGGCGATTTGACATGGAGTCAGAAGACTACCCAATCAATATTTTGCTACAGCGTCGCATATATTTTTTCATAAAGTAAAAAAATGCAACTGCTCGAAACCGAAACTGGACTGGGGAGGAAAAAGAAATCTAGAGTAGGAGAGCGTTGCCGGAAGTCACGTGGCTTTGCAACTTTTTATTTTTTCAATCAACGCATTTGCAGCTTTTAGAAGCCACAAAAAATGGGTATCATATTTTCTGTCTATTTTAAGCAGAGTATCGAACCGAAGGTTTCATTGGTTCAGTTCGGGTTCAGTTCCAGGGAGCAAAAATAATGGTTCAAACCGGTTTGAACCGCTAAATTGAGAATACATTTTCCGTGCTGTTCTGGCAATAGGCATTATTTATGCTGTGAAACGATTAACTATACTGTTTTTCTATCGTTGGTACAATCCACTTTTACTTTCAGGTACCAAAAGTATGACATTCCGTTATTTAATTTCAACACAACAGGAACATACAAAACGTTGTGTTTAGACGACTCAACATCTTTTTTATTTTTTGTTTATTAGAGTCGCATATATTTTACCTGAATCAAAATGTGGCGAGGTGTGGTAAGTCACCTAAAATACCCGTGATTGGTAAAACTTTGTGTCACAATATTAAAACTTAAATCGTGGTTGTGTCCTTGACCAAAGGAATTACTTATAGTGGAAATGATATGAAATGGGCACCTCATCACCATATATATCATGAACTATGGTTAATGAAATATGTTTCACAAAATATATATATGAAGATGACACAACTGAGCTAAAAACAATAAAATCTTTTAAAACGTATAGAAAGTTTTAGGACAAGTCTTTTCAGTGTTTTTTTTTTTTTTTTTATAGAAACACTAAGCGGCATTTACAATGCTTATTTTTCATACCAAGATTGTTTACACTCAGCACCTTGATGCAGGCGACGAATCATGCTGAAAGGAGCAATTGAAATTGTCCAATCTAGTCTATAAGCACCTACATACCGTAAAATCCTGAATTAACGCCCCCCTTTTCGCCGTAGATAATTGGCAAAAAAAGTGGGGTGGGCGATCTTTCAGTATTTAATAACCAAAATCACAAACAAAAATCGAGTAACGCGTGCGCCAAAGCAGCGTGGGTTTTTATTTCCCTAGCTCTCATCGCTGAAACCGTCAAACGACACATCGCTTTCGCTATCGAAGATTAAATCTAACGCCTCGTCAATGAGGCTCTCGGGATCCTCGGGTCCATTGGTTACCGAAGCCAAACGGTCGTTGAGCTCGCCGTCCTCGGAACCATCGAGCCTTGTGGATATTCCGCACCGTTTGAACGAACTCCGCACGGTATCCTCGGAGACGGAGGCCCACGCCTGAGCCACGAAGTTCACAACCTCTTGACGCGACGGCTTGCGAAGGTTGCCCTTTGGAGTCACCGAACCTTTCCGGAAGAACGATGCCCAAATTCCACGCAGCGCGTCCTTGAAGGGCTTCATCCATGAGACGTCCGCGGGTTGCAAAATGGACGTGCAACCGCCCGGTATCAAGACGACGTCGGTGTCTTTTGCGTCGAGCGCTTCTCGGGCCGCCTCTGTCTTGTGTATGGGTGCTTGGTCCAGTATGAGCAGCCTCCTCACGTCGTCGGCGTTCGGGCCCCAAACTCTCCTAGTCCACTCCAGTAGGACGGGAGAGCTCATCCAACCGTTCTTGGAAGAAGTAACTCGCACATTTGCTGCAAGTGCAACAAGTATAACATGAAATAACAGTTCGGGCCCCAAACGCACATTACACATGCTACGCCGATGAGTGAAGAGATGCGAATTGCCCGATTTTATGGCCGAGCGCCGAAGCACGCGCAAGTGAGTAAGCTTCGGAATGCCAGCAAGTCACGCGCCAACTGCTCGTGCGCTCAAGATGGCGCCGGCCAGAATGGCTACGCCATCTTTCGGAAATGGGGCGATACAAAACAAAACGGGCAGTGGCGTTTTGTCAATGGATGACGCAACAGTCGCTCTATTTAAAAAAAAAAAAAAAAGTGCTGTCAGACTTATTTTTACGTATTTCTAAGGCTTTGTTTCGACATTTATACCCTGAATGGTGATTAATTACAACATACCTGGAATCCTTAGAGAAAAGAGCACTCTGGGGGGAATCCGGCCGGTTGGCTCCTTCAGTACGATCAAAGCAGGTAGCTTGATGCCCGCTGCCGTCGCGCACAAGGCCACCGTCATCCCTCGCCGAGCACAGCCGGTGTTGGCGATGCGAATACTCGACTCGCCGACAGCATTGTTGGTTCTCGCAGCAGGGCAATCCATCCGGACCATAGTCTGATCCATGTTGGCTATGTTGTAGTCCGAGTAGTTGTGCTCCAGGCGCAGAGTTGACACAGCCTTTCGGAACACCGTAATTGCTTCAACGTAGTCGGCAGGCAGCTTCTGACTTTCGTTGGTCCCCACCCGCATAAGACACATTAAATCGCTTCTTCCAGTTAGCTATGTACTGGCATGACGCTTGGAAGTTTCCTAGGCCCATCTGTTCTGCCAGTTTCCGCGCATGCTCTTGAAGCAGGCGATTTCTGACTGCTCGACCGGCGGATCTCTCAGTCTCCAGGAAGTCCATCAGTGCGTCGTCGATTTCTTCACTAAAAACGGGTCGTCCCCTACCTATTGCTCTCTTCAACTTGTTCGTTCCATGGCACTGTTGTAGAAGTACTTGGTAGCTCGTATTCCATTCCCGTACACGCTTCCGGTCAACTTCGAAATGGCGCGTAGTCTTGCTCACGTTAGCTCCGTTCTTGCGGTGCCATTCCACGACTTCCACTTTCTTCTGGATGGTATAGCTGGACCTCATCCCGAGTATACACAAGAAGCGTCTTCACAGTTTGCTGGTCGAAAAATTTTCTGGGGTTCTCGGGCGATCTGACGACAACCACTAAGTGACCTTCAACGCTTTCCTGATGTCATTCAATAAGTGACCTTGACCGCTTTCCGGGTTCCTTTCGTTATCTTATCTCCCTTATTGTGTGTGGCCTCTTCTCTTTGTGAAGGGAATCCTAGGCTTTCCAAACCTTCTCCCCCACCCTCCCGCACCTTTCTCAACCTTCGGGCATCGCTATTTTTGGAAGGTGGGCGACCTATCAGTATTCGAGGAAAACACGTGTTCGAACATAAAAGCGGAGTGGGCGATCTATCGAGTGTGGGCGCTATTTCAGGATTTTACGGTACTCAGATTGAATTTGGCCTAAAATAGAGCTTACCCAAGTGAACATTTTCTTGTAAAGAATGGAGTGGCATAGCCTGGCTGTTGAGGATTGTTCTTGGCAAGATGCCGGTCAATTCAATTTGCATTGCTGATTGATAATTTTTTGTAAAAAAAAGTTTTATTTCAAGCTCTACTCGACATGGCAGCAACTTAACTGGACACTTTCTGACAGTTTGCGTGTGTAATTGTCATAGTTCTGCCACGCACCCCTGTGTACCTTCTTTTTGTGCAGCCCACAGACACATAAAAGCTATGTTCACCACATAAAAGAGGCAATAACAGATATGTCCGAGAAGTTATATATGCGTCAGAAACTCAGCTATTTAAATTAACTTCAAAATTAGAAATTTCTTGAACGCTCTATTTTGACCGGCTCTAAAAGCTTCGCAGGGAAAAGGGGAATGCTCCACAGCACTTTTCTTATGCGCGACTATGGGATCATAGTCGCGCACAAGTAGTTGCGGCTATGGTGCCCCAACTTACAAGCACTTCGGGTGAGACTGTCGATCCATACTGAATAGCAACCAGAATAATACCTGTAGGCACACTGCTCCTCGTGTTTTAAGGAAAGAGCTAGATTTCTTCAAGTCGAAGCTGGGCATTGTGCCACCCGACAACCTCGTAGGAGCAACCAGGTCGCAGCCAAGCCGAAATCTTCGCAGAAAATCCTAAACCTTTCGCCTTCACATTCTTTCACACCCCAGTCCATTAACTCTTTTTTTGTAGGGCCCATAGGTGACTGTGGTCCAAGACTGAAATAAATGTAGTCGAACTCGAAAGATGGTTTCTTCTATTTCATTCATACATGCTGTCCTCTTTCCAATAGTGACCTAAGTAAAAAAAAGTAGGCATGATGATATTCACTGAATACCAAGGAACTCGATTCTTGCTGCCGGCAAAGCCTTCCTAAAACACTCCTGTCCACAATGATCGAGCACTTGGGAGGATGTCAAAATATGCTTACCTTTATTTATGATAACGAAAGAGGGACATTGAAGACAAACAGACAAGACAGACTTTCGTCGTCTGTTTGCCTTCAATGTACCTCTTTTGTTAGTGTAAATTAGAAACCAACACGCTCAACCATCTACGCTTACCTTCCCAGTTCCCCTACGAGCTTGGTCCTGCTGCTGTCTGGCTTTGGCACGACCTGACAAAGAGTTTAGCAGAATATTTAGGCACTAGTTATGTGTGCAGGTTCAGACAGGTCCCTAATACCAAAAAATAAATACCCCCCCCCCCCCCCCCCCAAAAAAGAAACTTTTTTTTTTTTTGCAAAATAATGTATGTTTCTAAATGCTCATTCTTTGCCCAAATGTTGCAATAGCAGTCCAAATCAGGTGCCAAAGATCAAGAATGAACCATTATCTCATTCAAAGGTTGATTTTCCAAAACTTTCAATGGGAAAATGGCGGCCGACCGACTCCTTGAATATATGATGCTGAATTGCTCCGATTACCAAGAATGAGCCCCATTTTCCCTTTGAAATTTTCAGAAATCACTTATAAATTTCGAATAAGTTAACGGTTTGTGCTGAAACTTTGGTATCAGGTTCAGACTGCTAGCACTATGTTTGGGAGAAGGATGAGCATTCAGCGATGCAGCATTTATTTCTGCAGTAAAAAGAACAATGTTGTGTTTTTTTTTCTTAGTTGACACGCCATACGAAACTTTTGGCCGCGCCTGAGCCTACAGCAGAAGCCCTTGGTGTACTTTTCCATTAATATGAAAGAACAATTAGACGAGGTACTTTCGGGAGGCTGTGCTGGATTTGCTTTGGCCAGGCCACCATTGCTTGGGGCAAGAAAATAAATGCACCCGTTTTATTCTTTCTTTAAAAATAAAATGCCTCCCCGGCCAAACTGTGCTAAGCACCGCGAGACTACAAGCAGCAGAAAGCAAGCAAGCAAGCAAGACTACAAGCAGCAGAAAACTGAAGTGCCGCTCCTGGCTCAGGCGTCCCTGTTCACTGTAGTCATAGTCACAAAAAGAAAAAAAAAATGCATAGCGAAAAAAGCGCAAAAACAAAGACGCGCGCGCGCGCCTTTTTATTTTTGGCGTTTTCCTCTGCCGCTCCTCGCTTCTTTTGATTCGTGACGTCAAAAGTCATGAAATTTAGAAGCTTTGTAGGCGACATTTCTATAACATTTCAATCGTAAAACACGTTTTTTAATGCAATTGCAAATGCACTACGGCCTTTCTTTTTGAAATACCAAAAATCTGAGTCCGTTGTGGCACCGCCTCCTGGATTTGTATCCTCCCTCGGCAAACAGGAGACACCGCTCAAAGCCGTCTTTTTGGGGTTTTTTTTTCAGTCTGCCAGCGCTCGCTCCTTTCTTTCTCGTTTTGGGTTGCGATGGCAACAACACGGAGTCATGAAAGAAAGTGGACTCTCAGGACTCCGCAACATTTAACGTCAACGCACCGGCGCAGATCGCGCGGGGACTTCGAATTCGGCATTTGGAAATCGTTTTTTTTACTTCACAAGTACTCAATTCCCAAGTTTCGAATTTTGAGGGTAATGTCCCGGAACCGTTTTCAATCGTTTCGGATAATAAAAAAAAAAACATGGGCGAAAACGTTTAAACCCCCCAAGCACAGAAAACACACCTCCTCCTGCAAGGTCAGCGTTCCCCAAGCTCACGGCCAGTTTCTCGCTATGGCTTTCAAACACCAAAACACCAGCAGTGTGTTTCTTTCTCTCTTCGTCGCTTTTCCTAACGTTCAGCTGGTAATCAGTAAGCATGGATAACCAACTGGCTCAGCTACAGGCCATCACGGCTTTCAAGCTTGGAGAAAACATGTGATGGGGCCATCAAGGTTCAAAGTTGTACCTTATGCCCAATTTACACGACGGACCAAATTGCAAAGTTTGTCCTTGGACGCACAAAGTGAAATGGCCGAGCTCCTTTTCACTTGCGGATTTCTGATGGTCAATTGACTTGAAAAGTGTTTAGTTTGGCGACGCTACATTTTCCTTGTTTGTTTTCGGATGATTAAAACAAACATGGCGCATTATTGTGTTTTGCGCGTTCGCCGGTTCATCTTGTCGCGCGATTCTCGGTTCCACATGTCAAAGAACCTGCAGAAACTTTGCCCGGCCGACTTCTGTCGAGCTTCTCTCAAAACTCGTCCAGCACGCCAGAACCTTTTGGGCACGTCCAATCGACCCTTCACCCAGCAAGACCCCTCTCATTGCTGTTTCTGCCTCACTATGCACGCAACAGCGGCGCACAATTCTTTTTCGCGATAGCAAGTGTCAATTTCGCTCTAGGGCAACGGTGCCATGGTGCGATCACGCAACATCGGAGTTTTGCAGCACCGTGGGGTCGCGAACAGGTTTGGTCCGTCCTTGCCGTCGTCTGCTCGTAGTCTCCTCCATGTTGATGTGCTTGGGAGACAGAGACAAACTGCGGGACGCGTCATAACGTGACCAATCTGTCCACAGATCAGTCCGTCATGAGAGTCGCCCAATAGGAACGAAACGTGACAACAAAACGACGGAACAAGCACGTCTGTGGAAGCGATCAATAGCATAGTCACTGACATGGTAACAACAGCAGGAAGGACCTTCAGTTGTCCTCCCTCTAGCGCCAGCTTCCTACCTTCAACAAAGCTTCGTCGTCTCGTTTGCCTCAAGTGCATGTGTGCTGCCGATGCATGGCAACAGACTTGAAGTGTGTGCTGGAGGCGTTCGAAAGACTTGCCCCGCAGTTTTCATCCTGTCGGCGCCTACAGCACATGTGTTGCAGTCATGTCAACAATGCCGGTGGTTGAGGCAAGCGTTGTTTGGCTCGTTCGTCAATGGGGGCAGCGGTAAACTGCGCTGGGTTCAGCTGCCGCAGTCGTTTTCGAAGAGGAATATAGACCGGGCAGCGGGTACTATGCGGACTGTTTCTACAGCCCGAGTTATTGTTACATCGGCGTCTCCTCCGACGGATTAGCTGCCGAGAGAAAATGCCTAACGGAGCAAACGTCTGTGATCCAGCACCTCCTTTTTGGGTTTCCAAGACAGATTTTATTAGCAAGCATCGATGCCGCCCTACAGCCCTCAGTCATGGCCCAGATTCAACACGGTTTGTAACACTCCTTTTCGTTGGAACCTCGCATTGACTCCAGTGAAACGGATGCCCTGTAGATGCATCATTTATAGAAAATTGCCAGAGTTGCATAAAGTGGACCCTGAGAGCTCTTTAATTGGGCAAAAACTGAATTCGTAACAATCCATTTTGCACAGAGGCCCATTGCGCCTGGAGCTGCCCAAGAAGTTCTCGCAAACAATGTGGTTTTCGTCATAGACGTCATTCACCAGACAACGAGCATTTGGGCTAGACGGTTCCTGGAGGTTCAAACCAGGCGGGCAGTAAAGTCTGATACGACAGGTGCTGCCATCTTATGCGAAATTCTTGCAACTCTGAGACGGTCCACAGCCCTAATCACTGAACCCAATCTCGAGCTCTAATGGCAGAGTGCCCTGCGGGACTGCGACCCGCTTCTCGCATCCAATCAATCGGTGGCACGTCCTGCCCGAAGATGCCCCTTTTGGCCACCGGTCGTGCTGACCAGCAGCCAACTGGGGTGCCTCGTGTTCACTGCCCAGAAGCTATGGAGCAGTTTGGACGAAAATTAGTGACCATCAAATTTCTACAGAGCACTGATGGCCGAGTTCTGTGGCTGTGGAGTCGAAGCTTCCACGAGGCACACAAGATCAAAAAAAAAAAAGAAAGAGCCAAATCTTTAATTCTCATGTCTATGTGGGCGGTTCTACCCTGTATCGGGCGTGCTGATCATCCGACTCTTTACGAATGGGAACACGCGATTTAATAAACTCTGCCACGCACGGGCAACCTTACTATGAGGGTTCTACAGCAAACAATAAAATTGCGCCCACACGAGTCCTACACCTCTAGGGCTACCCGGCATTGGTTGAACCGGTAAGTGAGCTCTTGATAGCATCCCACAAGTTTTTAGAGGCGTTCACTTGTTTATATCAAGATCCTCAGCCAGACCAAGGAGCTACACCAACCGCAGTCTGATGAAAAGAGGCGCCACTCTTTATTTCGTCATAACACAGACCAGTAACTACGACGACGACGGACTGCACATGCAAGTTTGGACTCGACACACTTCATCTCAGTGCGGTATCTTTAACAGATCAACAACCTGCGTGTGAAGCTCCGCACCGCGAAGATTGAGAGACAAGAAGACAAAGCGTGAGCGGACTTTTCAAGGCAAAAAGACCGGCTCAAAGGTCGGGGGACTTACGTTCCTTGAGCTTTTGCCTGAAGAGCGGATCGCTTCGCCGTTTGTTGTCGAAATATACGCAGTAGGCAACAAAAAGCGAGCCACAGACACCGGCGGCGACACCCAGGGCTGTTTTAGATATCATTGCATTCATTCCGGTCATTAGGAAACTATTAATTGTTTGATAAATATTAAGTGGAGCGCAACTCCGACCCCAAACGGAACCACCAACCACCAACACGTTTTTCGACGAATTGTAAGCACAGATAGACGGATATATGCATCCGTCCTATGGATGGATAGATGTTAATCAGATGTTAATGGCCATACCCTTTGTAACGGGCGATAGCTTGCGCCACCTAGCCTAAGTCTAAAAAGACAAAAACTTTGTTTCTCATCGAAATGGAGCGTACTGCTTAAGCAACGAGGTAGAGGGGCTTAGAGTGATAAACCGGAAGTTCGGAAGTGGCACCCCCCCGGTTGCCGCCATATTTTACGCAAATGTGACCACTCGTCACGTGACCTCCCAAGAGCCGTGACGTCACAGGTAAGATGGCAGCGCCCAGAGCTGGCGGATGCGGGTTTGTTCGGCGCGCGGTAGCCGTGATGTGCAGCTGCTTTCCGACGACTTCGGGCTTCTTCGTGCTCGCTGACGCAGGTATAATGTGAAAATATGAAGGAATGAGACTTTATACCGTTTTTGCGCAAGATCGCTCTGGATCATCTGGATATTAACGCCTGTGATGTGCATCGCCGTATTGGTGCTTGGATTCCGGGATGTGTCCGAGGATCGATAGAACTTTGAGTGCTTTTAACATGAAATTTTCGCATTCTCTTAGCTTTGTTTGAACGTTGAAATATCTGAGAATCTACGCGAAGTGTATACGTCGCGTTAGGGCCTAAGGGAAGTTGTTTCAGCCCTCCGTCACCGAACAACCTTAGCAACTTTTAGCGAGGAAGCTCCTGCGATTTTAACCTTTTGTGCTAATCCACGATTCTACATTCGATCGCTTTTCTTCCTTTTTTTTTTTTTTGTGTGTGTGTGAGTGCGAAGTGCACCCTTATTTTCAGCTACGAGGTTGGCGTTTTATTGAGTATGGGGAAGAATAAATCGTTGCAGGCACCTGCTTCAAAGCTATTCGACTTGCTATAAGAACAACTGTTTTGTTGCATGCATAGATTAACTGCGCATTTTTTCTGTTTTGTAGGATTTATTGCAGCTATACTCTTTTCCATCAAGAGTGCATTGTATTAGTCGGTCAATTATTTAATTGTTCTAATTACCTGGATAAGATGATTCATATTTGTGTTCATCCCTTGCCTGGAGAGCAGTCTTGTTGAAAAATGTTGACTACCATTCCTTTCGGTCTCTTCAATAGACTCTTTTTAAAAGTGTGGGCTGTCTATACTTCGCATCACCGTAACTTGGAAAAGGCCAACCGCCACAGCCCCCTCGAGCCAATCAGAGAGACGGAGCGAAGGTGTGTGACAAATCTGTGCAGACGAGCACTCTGGTGATATGCTGTCATGTGCCTCTCTCCAATGTGTGTATTGACTCACCGAGACCGTAGCCTTTGCCGTCTGCCAAATTCTGATGAAGCAAATTACAGTAGCTACTACTGTAATTACCCCAGGCTTTCATACTTTTGGTATTTGTTCGACAAGGATGTTATGTCCGCCATCCCTGTGAATTCGGCTCAGCACCTATTGGACTCGAATGCTGCATTGGCGTTCGACGTGAACTGGGGCCCATTCGTGTGCTTTGCGCCGAAAAAAATGGTGACGGTTGTGTTGCTTGATAAGGTTCTGCAAAGGGTCTATTGTGTCATATATATATAGGAAGTGTCATGCTATATAACAATGCATCAACACATACTATTAAACTATATGCTCAGAGGTGTGTTTGTTTCTCCAATTAACAAGTTACAGCAGTGTGCTTTAATGCTATTATCATGTGTGTAGTATTAAGTATCCTCTCTGCAATGCCTACGAAGGCCCCTGGAAGGAATAAATTAATAAATAACATTTTCACATCACTGGAGTTGGTTTTCGGATGCACCACATGTTCAGGAAAGGTTGAACGAGTGCAGCCCCTTGCAAGAAGTCTGCCAGTCTGATATGACCCCTTAATTAATATTGAAGGGTCAGAGAAGCGAGTGTCCTCGTAAGGTCCAGAGCGTGCAATGGACACAATTCTTGGTGTGTAGACTCAATGCATGAAGGCAAGCGAAAATATGTTTATCTGGTTAGTGTATCAAATATGTTTATTTCCACTTGATTACATAATTATTGATTCTTAGTAAATGGTTCCATAACGAGTTCTTTCTGCGACAGTTTCGTGTCAGGCGTTCAGTCGTAGTACCTGTGGACCTTGTTGTCGGATGACGCTCCTGGCACGTCGGTGTTCAGTTTGGTCGAGTGGCAACTTTGACCGACTGATGCTGTCTTGTAATCATACGTCATGTGCACTGAAGCTGCAGGGCTGGCTTCTAATCCGAAAATTTTCCTGGTAGTTTTCGGCATTAATGTAGCAAGCTCGGGCATGTATTGCTTCCGTGGCTGTGCCTTTTGCTGTACCGTTGACTTGAAAGCTGGCAACAATTTTTGTTTGCTATCCAAGTCTGGTGATGCTTGCAGTTCACTTTTGAGAGCAACCAACCATTCTATTCCTTCAAGTCACTCAGGGGCATTCTCCCTCAAAGTTCAAAATTGTGTGCTTCGTGGAGTGGACACAGAAAATTGGTGTCAGCAAATTTTTAGGTATTGTCCTTGGACGACAACCGACACCAAATCCACTGTCACTGCATCGCCGCTCACCTGCTTTGTCGTGCTTACCTCTTGTTGAGGTGATGGACATGAGGAGCTTTGGGATAATCAGGGACAAAGGTTGCCGAAGATAATCCTTAATCTCCCGTGGTCGCTCCTCGAGACGTAATTCAGGGTCGTTTGGCACGAACCCTCGCCGACCAATTCGTTGGTACGGGCTGCTTTGGTAGACATGGTCGGCTTCATGCAGTGGTAGCAAAGTGGTTTTCGGTCGCACATTCGCATCACCTACGTTTTCCTCGGTGTACTTTGTTGAGCACAGTCCTACACACGATGTCGGGAATGCTTCGGCGTTAGAGTGTCTCATTGAATTGGCATTGAATACTAAGGGGCAGCCGGTGGCGATCGTCGTGCCATTGTGGTGTAAGTTGCCCTTGGTTTGTCAGATGCCGCTTCGCTCGCAGAAGTCTCGGTTGAAATACCTGTCAAACTTGTTCCGAAACAATCTCGGCAATCAAAATAAAAGCCGGGCAACTGATGGCAGGAAGTAGCTTCCTGATCTCCTCCCAGACAACGTCGTGGGTGATGTCGTGGATGCCTGGGAGGCTGGCAACGAAGTAGTAGCTGGACAACTCGAGTGTCGAGACGCCGGGAAGTTGTTCATAGTGGCAGGCTCGGGCATGCAGTGCACATTCTATGTTGGAAGCCTCAGTGATATGAACACTTCGACTGTTGTTGGGGGGTTGCGGACAAGGCTGCCGAAGGTGTTGTCCCTCACGTGAGGCGCATGGGATTCTTTGGTTCTTGTCTTCTGTAGCATCAAGGTCGGCGTGGGCGCTCGATCAAGCGCAAAACATCCTCCACGAGTGCGGTGGCGCTCTCATTGGGGCAGTGTCCTGGACAGAATCAAGAATGCGGCTCTCTTTCGTTGATGTTGGCTGACGGATGCGCGCTTCAGCTTGATCTTGCAAACTTCCCATGACGTTAAGGAGGATCCATGGTTCTCAGACCAGCGCCGGCAGTTGCTTCCACGAGAAGTATAGGTTCTGCAGGAGCTGGTTGTCTGTCCACCCAATGTGGCGGGCGACACTGTCATATTGTTCAATCCAGTCCTTGACGTCTTCATACAGCTTGCGTGAAAAAGCGTCGGAGTGTGATTTGCGACGGGCATGCAAACAATGGTGGGAGGGGACACGGTTTGCTGCTACAGGTTTGTCATTGTTGGCTGAGTCAGCTTCGGATTTTCTGACAGGAGACCGAATTCTGGTGGTTTTTCCTGGTAGCAGCGACTGGCTCGGATTTCAGGTGCTTCGTGGTGTATTTCCGAGGTTACTCCTTGTGGTACTGGGTCGTCTTGCGGTTGTTCTGCCAGGCTCGGGTCAGGACTTTGCCTACGGCTCGACAGGGGTATAAGACGCAGAATAGTCTGCCAGCCGTGTCCCATTATCGGGTAACTCGGCTGAAGAGCCGCCGGGTTCACACAGAGTGAAGGGCTACGGGTAAAGTGCCCAGCACCTCCACCTGAACACACGATTACAGCTGAGCATGACCTGCAGTGTCCCAGAATAGTGAATATTGATAGAAGATAGGACTGGAACAAGGATCCGTGACAGTATAACAAAACTAGCAGAAGAGAATCTATCCTGACCACTGAAGAAGCTGCATTGCGCTTTAGTGGCATTCTGTCCGAATAAATCCTCTCCTTCGGGGTTTGGCGACTGCCGTGGACGAACTGAACTGAAATAGATGTGGGACCACTTTTCTGGTAATGAGCCACTGCAGACTGTTGCCACAAAGCGGCGTGAGCTGGGTACGTAACACGCTCGGTGAAATGTCCGGACAGCTTGCAATTCGCGTAACGAGTGTGGATGAAACGTCTGTGTTGACGAAACGTGCGACAGACCAGCGGGATCAATGCCAACTGCAACACCTGTGCTCCGTGAAAGTGCACCTCTACGCCGGAACAATTTCGGAAGCAGCACAGCATCACCTAAAGCATGGCACAGGAACTACCAGCTTGAAGGCAGCTCTTCGGTGCGCCGCACACCTGTGCTCCGTGAAAGTGCACTTCTACGCCGGAACAATTTGTAAGCAGCACAGCATCATTCAGCACGGCACGGGAACTACCAGCTTCGAGGCAGCCTTCCGGTGCGCCGCACAACCGAAGTGAGCCCTCGGTCATTTGATCGAAGCTGCACCACGATTGCACACCGCCAAGCACGACTCACGCAATTTCCGTCGCTAAACTGTGTATCCAAATATATTGCACACGCTTCACTGCAAACCTCGAAGATTCCGATGGTCAACGAGTGCACAGAAACGTCGCCTTAAATTTTATCCTAGCGGTATCCGAATCAATCCGAGGTCCGAGCAACGTAGGTCAGATTGTCTCTTCCGTGGCAATATCCCGGTCGGTCACCAGCGAAATGCACACCGTTTCTCCGTATTTTCACGTTATACCTACGTCAAACACCACGCTGAACTCTGAACTCGCTTTCGACCGGCCTCATATGACGGCTTCCGCGTCTGAAATCAACTCGCCGAGACGAACGACAACCAACAAAGCATCCGACAAG